TTTACAAAATACAAACGAGCAACATTGGAACTCCAAAATTATAAGAAGAAGAAGGAAAAAAAATATTCTTCACTACCATGTCTATTCCTTATCAAAAATATTTTCCAATCAATATATATTCGATCAAACCAAAGTGGTGCTAAAATTAAAGAAAAATCTACAAAACCCAATAACTAAAATGACTAGTAACATGTTTATTGATATAAATAAAGCGAGAAAAATAGAGATTTATGTAGAGAGGAAATACAAGTACATACGTGTGCTTCCAAGCTTTCAATCCAAAAGTAGAGAAATTTAAGAATCCACAATATCTATTTTTTCTTGCAAAAACCACTCGGAAAAAAGCCCATATGAAGTCGATTGGAAAGTAGTCAAAGTATTTTGCAAACCCATGTCTTGTTTCCAAGCAATAACAACTTCATCATATAAAATTAATGATGAATTTTTTCATAAATTTACATAAAAAATAAATAAAATTAACTTAAATAAAAAATTACCTTTATAAATTTTTCACTTTCGAACAAATTAATAATTGAAAGTGGTCGGTACTTGAAACTTGAGAAGTTAAAAGAGGTTTGTTCACAATTGAATTTAAGTATTTAACATTGAAGATTTGGTTTTTTAGGTTGAGGCATAAGGGATTGAAATTGATTTACGAATAAATGGATAGTATAAACACTTAAGAAAGTGTAACGACTTAAGAAGTGAGCATCCGAAGTCCGAAGAGTGAACGCTCCGAACGGAATTTAAAGAAATAAATTTACAAATGAATGTTACCGATATTGCTCCGTAATAATTGAATTTGTATAATTTATCCGTTAAATTCAAAGGTTGCAGTCGCAGTCGCAGACCTTTGAATTTAAAGGCTCTACTTGCGGCAAGGCTTAGGCTTGCGGACTGCAGAGACCACTTTAAAAACGCCAAATGCAAAGGTCGCTAGGTGCGACCTTTGAATTTGGTGAGAATCTTGAAAGAGTAAGTTATATATTAATCCTTTTAGTTTTTATAAATTTAATTAATTAGTCCCTCTAGTTTAATAAATAAATTAATTAGTCCTTAATGTTTTAAAATTAATTATATAAGATTTTAATTAGTATTGATATTTTTAATATAATATATTTATTTCATAATTATTTTTTCATCAACTTTTTTATGGTATGAGTTTTTTCTATTTTTAAAATAAAAACAAAAATAAATTAGATGATAATATAAAATGCATAAAAATAACTAAATTATTGATTTATGAAATAAAAAGGATCAACTAATTTTTTTCTTTAAATAAAAGGACTTATTTTTAATTTATTTGAATTAGTAAATATTTTCATTCTCTAAACTTTTTATTCTCCGAAAATTAATCACATAACAAGTAAATTTTTTTTATTGATATTTTGTGCTCGTCCAATAGTCATTTCACAAAAATCAAGATAGATACAATTTTTCTTTACATTGTCTTCTTGCTCAAAATTCAAGTTAAAGGCTCGCAACTACAACCTTTTCATAATTCCACGTTTGTCACGGACTCACAATATGAAAATTTTGTTGGAGAACAATTGAACTACAGACTGCCAGCCTCTATAAAAATTACAAATAAGATTCTTTTTATTAGATAATGCAGGCTTGTAGGGAGAAAGCAAAAAGAAGTCAAAAAAGTCCCTCCTTAGTCCTTTTCATTGGTACCCGCGGGAGAAAGAAAGTATAAGAAGACAAAACAATGTCCAGCGAGCATTTCTTTCATTATATAATGCAGGAAGAAAGCAAAAGAAGGCAAAAAAGTCCCTTCTTTTCATTAGTACCTACGGACAAAAGAAAGCATAAAAAAGTTCTGCTGCATTTCAAGCCTTTGTTTCAGCAGCTTAAATATATACATAACTCCGTTATATAACGGTTGATAACGACGTTATGTAACGGTAATGCCGTTATTAGCCGTTATAGGTGTGAAACGGCATCGAGGTCTTTATAACGTCGAAAAACGATAACGGGTTGCTCCATTACCGTTATATAACGGTCGTTACGTGACGTAACGATCGTTTTTTAAAACCATGGCCATGCCTCCCCGCCGTAACCTCTCCAACAACATGAGTTAACACATTCTCGGACAAAGAAGAGACGATCTAGTCGAGTACAAGTCGATCTTGATGATACCGACTTGTATGATCTAGGTTAATAGAGTTACCATCAAGCATAGTATGAGGAATTGGTTTTGTTCCATCAATATGATGGATGAGATTGTGACCTCTTAAAAGAGGTAGAATGCATTTCGCCATAAAAGAAAATTAGAGGAACTTAATTTGATGGTTGTTTGGTAGGATAGATTTTGTGAGAAAACAATTGTAGATATGTTTGATAGAGGGACATAAGACACACAGGTTGTGGAGGAAGATGAAGTTGACGCATTAGTTTTTGACATCACGAGAACAAATATTCGACCGTTAAGCCTAGTGAAGCTCGATATCATGAAGAGGTTTAATGTTTGATGAATTTAAAACACTCACGTGTTCTATACATATGAGGTTACATGGTATTGTATGACTCTATAAAGATGAGTATAAATATACAATGATAACTACCATAGAGTTCTAACCTAATCATAATACGGTTATATACTACAATCCTATCGGTTTTTACTCTCTTTTTATTCGTAATCACATACCAAGCATCTTCAAAGTGGACTCATAGGAGAAAAAAAAGTTAAAAGTTCAAGGATGTCCATCTATTATTTTTTTCAATAATCATATTCTTCTATTCTTAATTTGCATCTTAATTTTATTCATTCGGCCAAATTTTCAATAACTACATCAATTTTTAATGACAAACTCACAATATGTCGACACGTGGTATTTTAAAAAAATTAAAAAAAAATAAAAATCCTAAAAAAAAAAAAATTGCCCCTCTTTTCTCTACCTTTTATGTAAAGAAATAAATAATTAATTTAATCCCTCTTTTTTTTCTTTTTCTTTTTTTTTCTTTTTGCTTTTTCTCAAATTCCAACCAAAAAAGAAAATTTTTTTTATGTATACTAAAGAACAAAAGAGAAAAAAATTATTTATTTTAGAAATTTATTATAAAAATTTATTTCAAATCCAACCTAAAAAAACATAACATAAGAATAAAAGCAAAAAGCGAAAAAAAAATAGCATTTTAGAATTTTATAATTATTTTTATGTATAGGAAAAAACACAAGCAAAACTTTTTCTATTTATTTCAAAAATTTATTATCAAAATTTATTTTAAATCCAAACCCCAAAAAAAAAATTAAAATTTTTTTTTCATAACATAAGAATAAAAGCAAAAAGTAGATTAAAAAAAAGGACATTTTATGATTTTTTTTTTTTTTCAGAATTTGAGAGAGAGAAAAAACTGACAAATGAAATTCATTAATTATGTTTATAACTAAAGTAAAGAAAAAGAGGGGATTTTGGAATTTTTTTAAATTTTAAGGATTTTTTAAATTTTTTTTAAAAAATATCACATGCTAGCATCGTGTGAATTTATCATTGAAAATTGATGCATAGAAAAATTTGACTGTAGAGATAAAATTAAAATACAAATAAAAAATAAAAAGATATAATTATTGAAAAAATTAATAAAAAAAATACGATTAAAATAATAAGTCAGTAAAGATACATCCCGCATCTTTAATCCTGAAACGAAAGATTTACCAAAAATATATATATATATATATATATATATATCATGCCCATTTCTGCATTAAACAAAAATAAAAATCTCCGGTACAGCAGGAATGGGAACAGAATCCAGATAGACTGAGAGTAGTTATGTGATTTATCAATAGTGATCTCGATAAATGACAGCTACCCCGTGACTCCTACAGACTCTCTGGATTACACGTGTGCGACTAAAGTAATTAAAATGGAAAGTGCATCCCATGCTTTCTTTTTCTTTTTTTAAACTAAAGCAAGTCAATGATCTTTTTTAGTTCTGTCATTTGGACATGAAGACAAACAGCAAAAACAACATGTGTCTCTAGCATTGTGTGCTTAATAAACATAAACCGGTGAAGGATCCTGACCGTACGGCTTGCATAATTGCATCTCCCAAAAAAAATATCTCAGCTTCTTAGAAATAGTCCATAGGAAACCACCAAATATCGAGTAAATTATAAATTAGTCCTTTTAGTTTTTCAAAGAAATTAATAGTTCTTATAGTTTTAAAAACTAATTAATTAGTTCTCTATTTTAAATTTATTTATAAGTTAATCCTTATTTTTTATTTTTCAATTTTTTTGTGGTTTTAAGAAACACGAAAAGAAAAAAAGGTAAAAAAGTAAGGAAAGATTGATGAAAACAAAAAAATAATAATAAATTAATCATGTTGAATAATATTTAAGAAACTAATTGAATAGTTTTTGAAATAAATAATGTTAAATTATCCATGACCAATGCTGCTTAAAAATAAAACTAATGGACTAATTTTTGAAATAAGATAGACTATTTAATTCGTCTTGAATAACTAAAGGGACCAATTTATAATTTACTCACCAAATACCTTGTCCTCTCTTGAACAAGGTCACTTCGGTCCGCTGATCTTTGTTAGAAACTCAAAGACTTTTTGGTGAAGAGGTAATAAAGACATCCCTTCAAAAGATTACATTACCCTCTCTCTCTCTGTCTCTCTGCAGCAGAGGAAGTGGAGGTGGAAGTGGTGAACTGATCGACAAATTTCTCTCCCCTTCACTTGGTACGTTAACATTTCAAGTCTTCCAAGGTTTTTTATTTTTATTCTTTTCTTTTCTTTTCTTTTTGCTGTCAGTGAGTCTTGGTTTATGATGAAAGTATGCGATCACTTTGTTGGTTGGTTTTATCTATCTTGTGGAGGTTGTATCACTTTTGATTTTTCTTTCTGAATTTTTATTTGCAACCAAAAATAGGAAATGTTATGGAACAGAAAAGGAGCTCAGTTTTATTTGCAACTAAATTTTGACTTGTCTGAACTGATTGATGCAATGGACTTTTTTTTTTCTTCGTTAGAAGAAGGCCAAAATGGAAATTTATTGTGAAAGATATACAAGGCAGGTTTCTGTTATTAGTTGTTTGATTGAAGGAATTGAGTTGGAGTGGGTGGTGGTTGAATCATGCCTTGGTTCTATTGGTATGAAGTACGGTTTCTGTGATGGCCTTTATTTATTCTTTTATTGCTCTTTAATGAGACTGGATCGATGTGGATCTATATGGCCATTTGGACAAGTGTTGCAGCAGTGGATCTATCCCCTTGCCGACCTTGTTATAGTTGGTGACATCTCATTTTATTTTCTTGTCCTTCATTTCAGGATGGACCTTGCATTTGTGCCTACACTAGCAATCGCAGTTTTAAACAAGTAGAACCTTAATTGCTTTGAATTTGGACTGATCTGCATTTTTTTTTCTGACTGTGGCTGATTGGTTATGTGAAAAATAGTAATGTTGACTTAGTTTCTGCTTTTCTTTGGTTTTATGATGCAGTATTTTAGACCAAGACTCCCTACTTTTAAATTTGTCCCATTTTGATGTCCGTTAATTGCATCTGGTCTGATCCTTTAAAGGGTTGTTCGATCGATGTTACTTTGCTGCTAATTCTTTATAGTGATTTATTATTTAAGGTTTGTTGTACTATGCGGTACAGGTTGAACACAGCTGCAGAATATTTTGATACCTGTCACCATGTTTCGCCTTTGGAGTAATACTCACCATGATCAGGAAAATGATTCACTGCAGCATGAATCTAAGGTAATAATAAGTTGGGAAGTCTTTGACTCTCAGCAGTGGTACTGTGAGAAGCAAACACTAAACCAGTTTTAATATACTAGGCAGAATGTTTTCTATTTAGTTAATCTGGTACTGAATGCGGCAATGTAATTCTACTTTCAGATCAATGAGCTCAAGGCTGCCATTGGACCACTATCTGGACACAGTTTACGATATTGCACCGACGCATGCTTTCGAAGATATTTGGAAGCTAGGAACTGGAATGTAGACAAAGCAAAGAAAATGCTAGAAGACACACTTGAATGGAGATCAACATATAAACCTGAGAAGATTTGCTGGGTAAGTTGGCTTAATTGATGATAATCATCATAAAAAGCATGGCAACACTTCCCTCTACTGGCTCAGTGTGCTAAAGTTATTCTGATCGTTGGTTTTATTGTCAGCCTGAAGTTGCAATTGAAGGTGAGACTGGAAAAATATACAGAGCAAATTTTCATGACCGACAAGGAAGGACTGTTCTTATTTTGAGGCCAGGAATGCAGGTATTATGGACGATCCATTCTTTTGTTTATTTCCCTTGGATAGGGATACTTGGATGATTCATACTGCAAATTCCTTATATTTCCAAATCAGAAACTAACACCACAGCAACTGCTGCAGAATACGAAGTCAATAGACAATCAGATGCGGCATCTGGCGTATCTCATAGAGAATGCTATCCTCAACCTACCAGAGGGTCAAGAACAAATGGCATGGTTGATAGATTTCACTGGGCTGTCGATAAACAACACTCCACCCATAAAATCAGCTCGTGATACTGTTAATATACTGCAAAGCCACTACCCTGAGAGGCTAGCTGTTGCATTTCTCTACAACCCCCCACGAATTTTTGAGGCATTTTGGAGGGTTTGTATTCTAACGCCTGTCGATTGCTCTGTTTTCTTGAATGAGTTTTGGAACGCAAACTTGTTTAACTTGCAAATAATCGGTCTCTGTGGACCACCCTCAAGGCCATGCAAGCATCATAAACCACTCCAAATTTATGATTGCGCAGATACACAATTTTTAATTGTTACTTCTTGCCCTCCAGGTTAGAGTAGTCAAATGCTCAAAAAACGAAGATTGAGCATCATTTAAGTGCTAATTCCATTTTAGAATACATCTAGTTTGCTGTATCTTGAAGCTAGATGGCTTTGCATGCTTCCTTATTGCTCTAATACGTTGTAATATAGTGCAGTAGTTGTTATTGATTGTTTCGTGTTTATTCTTGGTCTAATGGTAATTAGGGAACAATTAATTTTGTTGGAGTCAAATCGACTGACTAACATCTCATGGTCCAATACATGCAGATCGTCAAGTATTTCTTGGATGCCAAAACATTCCAGAAGGTAAAATTTGTGTACCCCAATGATACTGATAGTGTCGAACTCATGAGGTCATATTTCGACCACGAAAATCTTCCAACCGAGTTTGGAGGAAGGGCCATATTGGAGTATGACCATGAAGAGTTCTCAAGATTGATGACTGAAGATGATGTGAAGGCTGCCTCATTTTGGGGATTTGACAAGAAGCTTCAAGAAGCAGTAAATGGGCATCATGGATCAGAGGTGGCTCCAGAGCCAATTGACCTGGCATCCCCGGCCAGCTAGGCTGCCATTCTCAGTGTACTAAACTATATATAGACCATAAATAGTCTGCTCTGTGCACCTGAAAGTGTGCTGTGGTAGTGGATGAGATCCTGATCTTATTTTCACTAACAAAAACTGCCAATTTTCTTCTGGATAGGATGGTAGCGAAGCAGCTTGCCTTTTATCACTCATGGGCACGTTAAGTTTATGCCCCATGCGCTGTACTGTATTTAATCCTCTCTGAAACTCAGATCCACATGAATTCAGCAAAATGTAATAAACTTCTCACTCTTTCTTTTCCACTTCTAAGGAGTCTGATCCACATGAATTCACCTGAAATTTGCTGAAATCATAATGGGAGGTCATTAGTTGAACGGTTGAAGTGAGGCACCAACTTCATGTATACGTTTAATACAATACTAACATTATAATATATATATATATATATATATATATATAAGTGAATTCAATCTCACCTCTAATCAGGAAAAAAAAGGCCAATATTGGTAAAATTCTTAAAATAAAAAAAAAAACTAATCCCTAAAAATTATAAAATAGATGTTAATCCCGTTTTTTCATTATTCTCTTATTTACATACCATTTAAAATCCTAAATAACATAAAATAAGTTACTTAAATCACTCCTGAACTATACAATGTTTTATAGGTACTTTATTTTGAATATCAAAACTCTAAAAAGACTTTAAAACAAGTAAAAATAAAGGTATTAAATAAATTACATCAAAATATGAAATTGAATTCTTACTTAGTTTTTATAGGTTATATTTTATTATTGTCTTAAGCTATTTTTATTCTTTTGAACAAACACCGATAATATAAAAAAAGGCAAGATATGTTGAAAAAACAATTTATGTTATAAAAAAAATAGCAATAACGGTAGAATTAAAGAGAAAAATCATAGGAAAATGAATTCACTATTGAATAAAGTGCATGCAAGAGTTAACTTCAAATAATTCTCTCAATCTTTACAAAATACTTATACACAAACTAATAAACAATCAAACATATTTATAAGCTTCGAAATTGAGTTGAGAATTGAAAATGACTATGAATAATTAAAAGTACATAAATTGTTGAATCAATTGCATCTTTTTAATTTCTCATATTGAATAATGAATTGAATCACATTAAAAATTATGAATAATGAGGATTTAAAAAGTATATAAACATTGATATAGGCATTCATTATTTCATAACAATTTATAAATTTTTTTTATTCATGTACATATTGTTAATTTATAATCAGGTCACATATAATTGAAAAGAACTTTTTAAAAATAAAAAATTTCATAATAATATAAGATTAAGTGAATTTTTTAAATAATTATTATTTTTAAGAGTTATAAATATTTATTCTAATTATTAATTATTAAGTTTTGAAAGATAATTCAATTGTATCCCTAATTTTTAATTAAGTACAAATATAAATTGTATTGTATGGTTGCAAAATTAAAAAAAAAATTACAATCTGGAAAATTTATATAAGATTATTTGAAAATCAAACATGTTCATTTAATAAACATTCATATTTATTCTTTTATAAATAATTCTAAACATTCTATTAGAAATTAGAAAAAAGTACTATAAGCTAATTAAATAAATAATACACGTGTACAGCTCGTCCCAAGAAACTAGTATTTTAAATAGCAAAACAAGTTAAAATTTTTGTCAGGACCAAAAAGAATTTGTGTTAGGTTGTTTTCCTGTTGTGTTCATTAAAATTGTTTTGACTGGTCCACATGTTATTTAAAAAAAAAAAAAAACTTTATGGGTCCACCTTAAATAAAATGGTTATTAAACAAATAGTATAACAAAAAATTATTTTAACACAGTTGACTAATATAAAAAGGAAATATATAAATTCAGTTAGTTACAAAATAGGAATCCTAGAAAAATCTCTATTCCTAAAATAGAGATTTCCATTATTAGGAGTTGTATTTTTGGACGGCGAAAAAAACTAACTGCAGTATTCACATAGTATACCTTTTTTATTATTATTATTATTAACACAAAAGTACTCACCATCATAATAAATTAATTAATTACAAAATAGGAATCCTAGAAAAATCTTATTCCTAAAATATAGATTTCCAATGTTAGGAGCGGTATTTTTTGAAGAAAAACAAATAATCAGCGGTTCTCACATTATTAACACAAGTATTCATCATCACAATTCATGGAGTTATTTCCAATTCAAGACTCCATTGATCGATGGTTCAAAAAAAAAAAAAAATCAATCAATCAAAGAAAACATTTTTTTTTTTTTTGAAATAGTTTACAATAAATATTTTCTACATTTGAGGCAAAACTCTTTTTTTTTTTTTTCAAATAGTTTTCATTAGATCTCTATGATAAAAAATTCAAAATCAAGTATGTTGAAAAAGACCATTATTAGGAGTTGTTATTTTTGGAAGAAAAAAATAATAATCAGCAATGCTCACATAATATAATTTTTTTAATTAACAAAAGTCTTCACCATCATAATATATTAAATTAATTAAAAAATGAGAATCCTTGAAAATCTCTATTCCTAAAATATAGATTTCCATTGTAGTATTTTTGGGGAAAAAAAAAAACAAAAACAAAGACACTAATCCGCAGTACTCACATAATAAACTTTTTTTTTTATTAACACAAGCATCCCTCATCGTAATTCATGGAGTTATTTCCAATTCTTGAATCCTTTAATCAATATTCAATAAGAAATATTTAAAAAAAAATTATACAATTTTTTGTGTTAAATATTGCTTTATTTTTTATACAATCTTATGAAAAAAAAATAGATTAAAACATTTTTTTTTTGGACTTTTGGTTAATTAGAACTTGATTTTTACTTTATTACAAATTTTTATTTAACAATTCATACATAAAAAAAAAAATCACGTTTTTTGAAAAAGAAAATTTATTTTTTAAAAAAAATTAATTAATTAATTAAATATACAATTTTGATTAAAAATTATAAAATTAAATTAAAAAAATATTTTTACTTAATTCATATATTTTAATAACGTAGGAACCATCAAACTAGAATAATTTTGCAACAATCTAGTAATTACTAGTATGTAAAAAAAAAAATAGATACATTGACAGTAATGGTAATTTAGTTCAACTTTATGGTTGTCTATTTTACGTTTCTGTTTGTTACATTTTCTTTAAAAAAAAAAAAAATCAGTTTACAAAGTCTGAAAATATTCACTACGAATCCACCACATGCCACCTTGACTTAAAAACAGATTTTATTTACAGGGAAATACAAGTCATAGGATCTTACACATGTATATTTCCTTAGATCAACGTAAACGACTGGCATCCCTTCCCATTAGCAGGAACTAATTATCTGTTATACTCTTCGAAACAATAGCAGATCACATCAGGATGAAAAACACACTGAAAAAACAAATGACAGTTAGCTACACACAGCCCAGCTCACTCGGTCAAAATCTTGAACCATCTTGGGAACATGATATGGTTAGCAGCATTTGGATGTTGAGGGAATGGAGGATAGCTGCTCAGAGAAGATGAATCACACAAGCCGTTTCTTGAAGTTACGAGTGGTCGCTTTGTAAGTGCGAACCAGCAAACCAACACCTACACCGATCCCAAGACAAATGCCAAGCCCAAGTCCCACACCAACCCTGACACCAGCATTAAACCATGAAAGTTCTCCATCTTCACCGTCCATATATTCCTTCCTCCAGTACACGTTACTATAATCTTCTTCATTTTCTAATTTGTAACTTCCGTTGTCAACTACCTGCAAATGAAGAATGGTACAAAGCGACGAGTGAGGTAAACACCAAGGCATGTGCAGTATAGTTGGGAAAAAGAATCGAGAAAGCTACAGTAGGTTTAGTTGTAATGAACTAAATAAGTTCATGTCCCATACGATGGGACCTCTAATACACAAATAAGTTTACGATGCATTCCCTAGGAAACCATCAAATCAGCAATAAGAATTCACACTTTTCCAGTCGGATTTAGCATTTTTCTGTGAGAATTCTATGCCATGTAGACAAAGTTACTTGACTAAAATAATAGGTCTATTTCCAAGAATAAGAAGAAAACATTATAATGATTGCCACTGTTCATGGTGATACAATGGGGCTCTCACCAGCCTTCAAAACTCCCATCCCAATAGAATCCCCAAAAAATGCATACATGCATACAATCCTTGCATCAGCTTTGCAAATTGCAAGGAACTGAATGATAAAGAGAGGCTTTAATTATTTATAGCAGAACAATTAGAGGGACCAAAAGCAGCCAGTAGACAAATCACTGAAGACATCAAGTCTTTTCAGATTTGCAGCAGATTCCCTGTATCATTTAACCAGACTACCATTTTGGAAATACCTAAAGCAGCTTAGCAAGTGCATGATAATGTATTCAAAGAAGCATTCACATGACCTTCAGGACACGCACTCATAGTTATTGAGCACAAAATCCTTCTCTTAATCTTTTCTATACTTTTAAGGAAAAGAATGTGCCAAGATATGCAAGAGATAATCTCGCCATTTTTCAAAGGAAATACCTAAATAGATGCCAAGTTTATATGACCATCAACTGATTTCACAACTCTGTATAAACTCTTCCAGGTATCTCTTTCTATAGTAGCTCTAAAGGCATATAATTCTCACCATGAAGCTCTTCATCATAAAAAATAACCAACAAAAAAAAATAATAAGGGAAAGAAATAAGTTCTCTAGAATGCATTGCTACACCATGCAATGTAACAGTTCAAGTTATCAGAAGCAGGCTGGAGAAGCAAGTATAGAGATTTAAGGAAACAAAAAAGGCCACAGGTAACAAGAAAATCAACAGACATGAGAGTTTGCACTTTGAAAAGATTAGCAACTGAGACGATCAATGCTGCATACTATCACATGCACAACTGCTATCATGTGTTGAAGTCGAAATTTAGAGTTAGGACTTAATTGTAATCCAAAGACAAAATGTTGTCATCACCATTAAGAATTAACTAGCTTGCTGGAAGTTGCTTTTGAACCCATATTGCACTGAACCGTATTCCACAACACACCATTAAGATTAATTACAGACGAAGCAAAGGGCAAACAACAAAATGCCCAGAAATGGCCTAACAGTAGGTGGCCCCACATGTGGATGCCAACATCCACGTGGATTCACCATGAGTCCATGCACGTCAGGATGTCAGAGGAAGGATATTGAAAACAATGCAACAGAAAAGAAAAAGGGGGCAATGAGCACTATCTCATCGATTGAAAAGTGTGCCCTGCCATGCCCATGCCACATCTAGGATAAGATGCAATTTACCAGTCCAAATATCAACGTCTAACAAGTATGGGACCTTTACAACAAGAAACATGCTCCAAGACAGGAAGCATATTTGAGGCCATACCAAAAAGGGAATTCAACATAAAGTTCTCTCCTATTCTTAAGTTTTGAATCACATGATTCACATTAAATAATAACTAACCAAACTGCAAAAGACATGTATGCTTCTTTAAACATGAACATATATCAATGCACTACAAAAGCACTATCTGAAAGCAATATCAAAATAGTAGAAGCACACGCATTATCACAAGATTGGTTAATAATTAACTTTTTTAGTGATTACCTCCAAATCATGTTCCGGTGACACATTTTTTGTGGATTCAGTAGTCTCGTACTCTGGAATTGAGTCCAACATGCCCTTCCTATTATGCTTCTTGCGATAACTAAGTTGCAAAGTCTTGGTTAATATGATAGGTGTCCCTGAGAAGGAACCTGCAACATAAACCTCAATGGTTGGTAGGGGTAACTCAGGACCACCATTGTATTTTCCTTTCAAGAAGCCAGTACCAAGGGTTATATGAGATTCACAGTTCATCTTCCACCCTTTCACGATGCTTTTTGATTCCCCAGTGAAACCATTACTATTGGACATTTCCAAAACCCCAGATAGAACGAGATCCTCTCCATCAAATACCTCAAATTTCACACTCCCTGTAGTTCTGATACTGTCTGTGCTAATAAATGTAGCCTCTTCTGATTTTTTATCCACTCGATCTCTCCTAAGAAGAGACAAGACACCATCAGAATACATACTACTTCTGGAACCATTAACTTCCAAGAACGTATCAGGACTAAGCGGAATATGGTTGAGAGTGAGAAACTCCGGCGTTGAATCATCGACCTGGAAATTACTGATCCTGACATAAAAGACTCTCAAATCAAACCATGGTGAAATGAATTTGGTGCAGGGTTTGAACGGAGAGTATCTAATGATTTGAAGATTGGATTTTGCTGCTTCACCATTGCTAAATGCTTCATAAGGAACCTCCATGATTGATGATCCAGAAGCTTAATCCTCACTGAAACCTTCCAATTCGGATTGGATTGGTAACATCTAAAGATGAGCCATACAAGTCAAAATCAAATGTCCAGACATTACCTGTTCCAAAATCAAACAGAGATATGCTCTTTAGATGAAAAGAAACAGCAAATCATCTGAAGAGATAAAACTGGTATTGAAAAAAAAAAAAAAAAAAAAAAAAAAAAAAAACAGAACTTAGATACTAAAAGAAAAACCCAGAAACCCAAAATAATCAGACTCGTATCCATGCAAATAGAAGAGAGAGACCTAATATTCAGGAAACTGAAACCCTTGAAATAAGGAAAACAGAGTAGAAAAAATCACAACTGGCTCAAGTTATAAACCACAAGTCTTCTCTATTTGGCTGACCGACATCCGCTTAATGTCGTGTTAAGCTTACACAGCCTGTGATATCTATTCCAATACCAAAATAAAAAATAAAATAAAAATTCAGACTTCAATCAATAAGAGTAGCACTAAAAAGAACGAATAACCATTCTAAAATAAAACCGAAAACTTATCTTTGCTTGAAATTCCCAAGAAAAAAAGATTTTATTTTTTTTTCATGCAAGATCAACAATCAAAATTTATACAAGCAAAAGTAAATCGCCCACCAGCTGAAAAAAGGGATTTCACAGGAAAAAAGGGATTTCACAGGCAACCCAAAAAAGGAAGAAATCAGAACAAATTCACTTCTCTTATCTCTTCAATTCCAAATCAAGTAGTAGTAGAAATTAAATTGAGAAAAAGAAAAAAATAATTCTGCATACCCAACAAAACTGCCGGCTTTTAGCAAATAACAGATACGTCATACTACCGGCCAAAAAGGGTCTCTTTTTCTCTTTATAGTATGGCACAACACGAAGCCACAAAAAAGAAAAGAAAAGAAAAAATCAACTTACCAAGAAAAACATCTTCCATCCAAAACTCTAAATCAGAAACCAGCCACTACATCAGAGTAGACTATGAAAACGACAGTAAGACGGACCCAGCTAGCCTTCTTCTAATCGCATTCAAGCTTCAGCCTTTAAGATTTTGATCACTCTCGACCCAAATCGTGGCTTAAAAAATATTAGAAAATTAAGCCAAACCACCTAACACCTTCGAAAAAAATCTCTGGCCTCTTATATTATTTATAGACAGTGAGTAGCGTGTATAATCTGAGAAACTGAAAAGGATAATTGGGTTTTTTTAAAAACCTTTTTTTTCAATTTATTATGGTCAGGGTGAGCTTTTTACAGGAGTTGTACCTGCTTTAATGATATTCTTAATAAATACGATGAAGATGGGCTTTGTCTGACTTGTCCTTATAATAGAATGAATTGAATGCTGACGACCTTATCCGATTGTAAGAAGGTAAAAATGAATTTGCATTCAAGTGGGCACCTGCTTCGAAAATGATTTTTTCCTTTTTTCACCATTTTTGCTCATGTGCTTCCTCGATCGCAAATTAACGGCTCCCGACAAGAGGGTTGTTGGTTTATTGAAGGATGTAGAGCATGATGGGCCTGAGAGAGGCCCATTTGATTGTTAATATCACCTTAATGAAACTTCTTGGCCCATGAATTTACTATCCAAAAACAAAATTTATATTAATTTCAATCTTAAATTTTTAAAATTTTCAACTAATAGTTTTCATCTATGTTTAGATCGTTCTATTCAAATTGTTTTTTTTTTTTACAAATAACAGTGTTATTTTATACAAAATTTAACCTTTTTTTATTATGTAATTCTAATAAAAATATTAATTGATAGATCAAAATGGTTTGACGATAAATTTAATTTATAATATAATTTGGGTATAAAATTGAAACGGCCTTAATAGTTTAGAGTATATCTAAAGTTTCTCCTCTCTTTTTTCCCCCCAATAATTAGTCAAGATGTAGGGCCCTCAACGTGCTAACTTTTGGGCTTGCTTGGATAAGGATTATATGCACATTATTTACGACAACACGTTTGATGTCTTTTTTATGTAAATTGATAGTACCTAATTTAGGCAAATCAACCAGAAAGATTGATTACATAAAATCGGAAAGAAGAAAAGCAAGAGCACTTTTTCCTTATTTTGCCGCCACGTGTGTACGTTAGGTGACTTGAATATTTTAAAAAGGAGACTTGCTACGAACAATAATTAATTTAATATTCCACCAGACCATGGGCGTGAGTCGAGACCCCACACACCACAGAGCTTAAGCAATCCATGGTTTTGTAATGTGCACTGTAATTATATTATTATACACTGACCATGCTGCATTCTGGGATTTAGCCTTTGTGTTCTGGATTTCTACACGTTGCATGCTGTGTGCAAAAAGTTGATTGTTTCTTTAAATAAATAAATAAATACTCATCTGATGTTTGGGGGTATATTATTTATTGTAGTTGACGGCATGCATGATCGTACATAGTGGAACTTCCTAAATTTTTTTTTGTTACCAAAGCCAAAATGAGCCATGCTCGTTACAAAAATCGAAAAAATCATGGTATCCATTTCAACTCAAGTAAATCTCCAGTGTCTTAATATTAATTATTAAAACTATAGTAAATCAAATATCATTTCTCAAAATAAAATCTTTAATCAATATTATAATACAACTATATCTAATTCATAATATTACATCCTAAGTAATCAATATCACATTCAAATCGATAATATCACATCCAAGTTCATAATATTTAAACATATCTAACATAATAATTATCGACATAATACAACTCCCACAAATATAAATGTAGAGCTTCTAGAATATACAATAAATATCAAATATAAATTCAAAGCATTATAAATAAGTAAGCTCGCACGATTAGTGTGTCGGCTTTAAGATAACAATTCGAAGAGTCGACGAGTCTCTAAAATTAAAATAGTAAAATGTGAGCAAAATAACAACTCAATAAGTAGAGATTATATAACATGTCTAAAGAAGTAAAACGGACCAATAGACAATAATTTAAAATCTACTCAAGATGCAATGTTTATTTTTCAAAGTCAAATAAATACTTTAATTATCAAATCGCATATCATATCTTAAATAATTCAAGTTCAAATTGAAATCTCATATCAAAACACATATAATCAAAATCACACATCGAATTACTTATAATCAAATTGAATCATATCAAACTTTAAAATCTATATCAAATCAAATCAAGTATCTAAATTTATATTTGGAGTGAAACAAAACATAACGAATCGTTAGATGCAAACATCAAAAGGCTACGCCTTTCGTAGCTAGGTTTTTGTATGTTGGCCGACATAGGGGCTAGAAAAATAAAATTTATCGAAAAGATTCAAATTGTAGATTTTAAACTAGACCTTTACTTTCTCAACCAACTCTAAACAATTAGCCAATAACTACGTTTCAAGTTCATTTTATAATCTTTCTCTCGACAATCTAATTTGCATTTTAATACAACTAATTATCTATCATCAATTTTCACACAACTTGTCTCTACAATCCATCATAAATTTCTAATTCAATTTTCACACAACTAATGTACAATCCATCATTAATTTTCATTTTAATTTTTTCACTACTTACCTCTACTATTCATTATTAATTTTCAATTTGATTCTTCTCACGACTTACCTCTACAATTCATTATCTCAAGCAACTTTAGAATTTCTTAAACCTATAGTTTAATAATTAATTTCACACCACTATTATCTCATTTCAAGCATCAATTAGCATAATTAATTTTTAAATCATAAAATCTCTAAATTCAATTCAACTCCTAACCCTAACCTAACTTAATACTAATTCAAACAATAAACTCAATATAAAACAACCTAAAAATAATCAATAAACACATATAATCATCTCAATTTTAAAGCCAAATGACAAAAATTCTTACGATTGATAAATGGGTCTTCAATCTCAATTTTAATCCTAAAATCCTTTTAAACCCTATAAGCTTAATCTAGCTAAATGCCCATTTGATTATATTATTTTCATGTGCTCTAGGACTTTTGGGCAAGGTTTTTAACACAAAAAAAAAAAAAAAGAGTGAAATGGGGTAGCAAAGAGAGTTTTTTGGTGAATAAGAAAGGAGAAGAAATGAAGAAAATGAGGGACATATAGGGTTGTCTTGCTTTTGTAAAGAATCTGTCTATAATTTTTTTTAAACCTTTAATCTTAATCTTATTCTCTTTTACCTTATATATGTATGTGTGTGTGCGTGCGTGTGTGTGTGTGTGTGTGTATAAGATTAAGGAACTAACCTTATAACTATTTTTCTTAATCTTGTGAAAATATGTAAATTACTAGTTTAACTTTATTTTTAGGATGAGTTATCGCATTGTTACTCACTCTTTAAAGGACTTTGTTAAACTAACCGAAAGTTAAGCAAGACTAGGGATGTAATATAGATTTAAATAGTTAAGATTGTGTTTCATTCAAAAAACTTAAGACTTATAGTAGGTGGCTCATTCTTAAATTTATATAATAACCATCTTTATGTTTACTATTCGACATGAGATATATTCTCTAATACTCTCCTCTCATGCAATCTATCTTTTGAAATTTATCAAGTGACTTAGGTTTTAAGATCTTTACTAGATCGTTAGGTCTCTTTGAGGTTTTAATATCATATAGAGTTAGATAGTTGAGATTAAGTTCCATCCAAAAAACTTAAGTCTTATGGTGGGTGGCTCCTTCTCAACTTTATATAATAATCATCTTTAGTTTAACTATTCAACGTAGAATATGTTCTCTAATACCCTCATTTTTTACAATCTATCTTTTAGAATCGTCAAACAGAGTTGGCTTCTAGGATCTTTACTAGATTGTTATGCTTTTTGAAGATTTTGATACTATATAGAGTTAGATAGTTGAGATTGAATTTCATATAAAAAACTTAATATAACACTCGCGACTTCAATAGGGAGGTCAAGAGTGCTATCGCATTATCTCACACGTGAGGGTGTAAGGTAATGCACTTTGTCCTCTATCCCTATCTCTAGCTCTAGTCGCAGT